CAGTACAAAGTATTTTTGGTTGCTGTATGGTCTCACGTACCAAGCGATTAGTAACAAAGAAATAGTGAGTTTGGTATTAAATGGTAATAGAATAAAAAATTTGGATTCCAGCCAAACAGTGTTATCTTTTCTTCAACTTCTAGCATCTAACAGTTAGATCAAAGGAAGATTTTAAAGCGGAGGGGTTGGTTATCCGGAAATTTTTTTTGTTTCAGGTGTTAGGTATTGTTTTATGGTCGCGGTTATTCCTGTTTAGCCGGTAGTTTCTTCACTCATAGTCATAAGAACTGCTGAGAGCTCTTCAGTCGTCATTTTGAGGCTCATTACGATCTCTCGCGGATGTAGACACTAAAAAGTTCTATTTTTTTCTGCGGCGTTGAGATAAGGGTGTTAGTTGTACAATGCGTTTCGGCGGGTCATACGTTTCTGCTGGGAAGGGATTACTAGTCACGACACAACACGAGTGTCTGCTCCTGTTGGGAGCAGGCAGGATGACAGGCTGTATCATTTTGTTGGGAAAAGTGTTTCTCTTTCGTTGTATTACGCAAGGTGGATTTTTTCAGTAGTTTGAGCTGTGGGACTTTGTTCTTAGATTTTGCGGTGGTTAAGCAAGCGAAGTGACTCTAGGAGGAATTATGTGATAAAGTTGTCACCACTGTATTCTGCAGCTTAGGAAGCTAGTTATTGAAAAAAGAGTCAAAAAAAATGAAAGTTTGGAGGGCAGGTGGACAGTATTTGAAGGAGCTGAAGAAGTTCTAATGTATTCTAGTTTGCATTTTTTCAACGTGACATGTTTGCTGGAACTAAATTAGAGCATTCTTTCTGTTTATTTTGGAACATCTGTGGTGCGCTGATAGCGTCCAGTTTTTTAGAAGACTGTCTGGAAGGAGTTGTTAGTAATTAATACGAGCACTCAAACTGGGCAGCGAGACTTCTATCTCACTGTATGAAATCCGAGTGGGTGCCGTGAAGTTCTTTAAATTATATTATGTTTCGAGTGGAAAGTTTTTTATTAAACGTACCTTCAAAGGATGGTTGACAAGTGCCTGAAATAATGTTAGTTGGGCTTGTAAATGCAAGCCCGGTCGTCGAGTGGTGCACAACTAATGGAACTTTTTTAGACTTCCTACAATTTAGTTTTTGGACTTCGTCTTTGAAATATAAAATTTATTTGTCTTAGCCAATATCTTTTCCTAAATATAACTTTTCAGATGTGTTACTGCTGTTTGGAATGGGTAATGAAATTGGAATTAGAATAGGGTGAATCGTGAAGTGGTCGAGACAGGCGCTTTAAACGACATTTTAAGTTTCTAAGAATAGGCAGGAGCCGAATTGTTAAGCCGATAAATGATAAAAGACGTCAACTTCGTTTCGAATTGTACAGCTCGTTCATTTCTTCTGTATTCCCGCCATAGTATATAACTTGATCTCATTTGTGCCCTCCCATATCCTTTTCGTTTTTACTTGGCACTGTTTGGAACGACACTGTTATGGCTAGAAGGTTGACCGTAGTTGCAGTGATATCACTTGCATAGTTTTACATCGTTTACGGTATAGTAGGTGCGGGGTTAACGTCGCTGCCGTTTGTTTAAACATTTCGTTTGCTTTTTCATCATAATTTTGCTCTTAGAAAGAATTTTCACTGTCTTTTTTAGTATAATACTATGTTTGCAAATATCCTCAAATTCGGTAATTGGTTTTAAATTAATTTGATATTCGAGACCGTTTAGATTGCTTAACTATAAAAAGGAGTAGAATTTGCTTATTTATCGATCTGTTTAATTATTCTGCAACTGCGCCTGAACTTAATTTCTATACGATAAGTAATTTTATGATGAAAAGTCAGAATGATTTGTGAAAATGAATAGTCTTAGGTTTTTGGGGGTTTTATAGTCAAATGATTTGATGATAATTATTAATTTCAAATTTTTTTTTTGCCGGAATAAATATAGAACAGACTTTATTTATGCTTCATTACCATTGCTGTAAGGTTCTGAAATCAAATTTGCAAATTAATTTCGAATTTTATCTGCAAACTAGGAACGAAATGCTAGACATACAGTAATTGTTAACAGTTTTCACATGGTTTATAAATCGTTAACGTTTTATATGTTGACGTAGAGAAACGTAATTGAGAGAAGAGCTGAGAATCGAGAGCTGGCATTACTGTTTTTTGGAATAAATCGGTTAGTTTTGTGTGAATGCATCTGTTGACTTCATACTTTGGAGAGTAGTGTTAATTTCAAAAATTGAACAACTTTTGGAATCAATAAATTGTAAATTTATTTTTAAATTGCTTTCAATTTGACAGTTTGCCGCAGTTTTTGCTGCATACATCTATGAGATAAGAGTAAATTGCTGTGAATAAGCGAGGAATAAATTTGTAATGGAAGACTGAAAAATATAGTGACGTTTTACAATTGCAAACTTAATAACAGAAAGCTAATCGGCAGATAAACTGTCACCGGTAATTATAAAAAAGAAAACTTGGTTTTTTTTTTGCTTACACAACTTCAGTGTTACGGCGTTATAATTATTGCTTCATGGGCGATTTAAATAAATTTGTAGTTTAGTCATAATTGATTGCCAACATTTAATACTGCCAAACGTTTATTTGGATTAATTGGATCAGTTTTGTTTACATAAAATATTTTAACTTTTTTTTTTTTAGAGGAGAGGGGGAGAAAATATTCAGTTGCTTAGAATTGTATAATTTGACTGTTTTAACTGTTTTAACTTCTTATATAAGTGCTTAGGAAGTATTTTAGATAAGGTGCATGGTTTTGATGCATCTGATCCAATGTTCGCCGTCACTGATACTGTTTCATGTTTCAAAAGTAAAAAAAAAAAGAAAAGAGTTTATAACGATGTATCGTTGTTATTTGGGTGGTGCTGTGGTGTTGATAGGTCTAAAACGAATAGTTTAGTTTATAGCAACGGTAATGCATTAATTTGAGAAAAAATTTTTTTTTGCAATTACAATAAACATTCATTTTCTTCTCTTAATTTTTTGTAAAAAAGTGTATTTGCAAGTTTAGTGAAAAATACTGCATTAGTTTTTTTTTTTTTTTTTTTTTTTTTTTTT